GTTTGGTGAGCATGTATATACCCATAGTCCAGGGATGGCTGGGCCAGGAGGTGGATCATAATGTCAAAACGCTGGTGAGAGTGCTATCTTCTCTCTCTTGCTTATAGAAGAAATAAATTTAAAAAATAAACTTTAAAAAAATATTTGCTCTCAGGAATAGTAATGCATACTGGGATTTTTTTTTTTAAACTTTTCATCAGTTATATTGGGTTGTCAGAAGTCATGACACATTTTGCATAGAAAAATACAGGATGACTTTTCCGATGATGCAGTAATTAAGATATTGAAGGTAAAGATGAAGTGACACGGGGAATAAAAAACAGACTCAGTGAAACAAAACTGACCAAATTTTGACAACTGACAAAGTTTGACTATTTTTGAAGCTGAGTGATGGGTACATGGAAATTAATCATACTGCCTTTCTCTGTGTATTAGTTTGCCAGGGATGCCGTAACAAATAGACTGGGTGGCTTAAACAGAAATTTATTCTCATAGTTCTGGAGGCTAGAGGTCTGGATGTCAGCAGAGTTGATTTCATCTTGCAGCCTCTCTCCTTGGGTTGTAGGCAACTGTCATCTTCTTTTGTCTTCACATACTCTTTCCTATCTGCATGTCTCTTTAAGAACACCAGTCATATCTGATTAGGACCTCTATGACCTCACTTGACCTCTTTAAAGGCCTTATCACCAAATACAGTCACATTCTGAGGTACTAAGGCTAGGACTTCAACATTTTAGGAAGACATAATTCTGCCTGTAACATTCTGCCTTGTGTGTTTTAAATCATCCATAATAAAAAGTTTTTGTAAGAAACGTAAATAAGATGGCATGGTGATTAAGGATGCTGGACTCCCACATGGCCAACCATGGTTTGAGTCCTGGACCTAGCGATTTGCTTTCTCATTTTCCTTCTCTCTCTCTCTCTCTCTCTCTCTCTCTCTCTCTCTCTCTCTCTGTCCCTCTCTGGTTAAATTTAAATAAATAAATAAATAAAGTTAAATAAAATAGTTCTTTAAAAAAAGGAAAAAGAAACATAAATAAGATGTCACTTTAGTCAAATAGCATCCATATCCCTACCCCTACTCCCAATAGTTTTCCATTTACCTGTGCTAGAGAGTTCACTGAGATTTATCACCTAGTATTTGATCAGTTTCATAATTATTCCATGATTTGAAAAAAGAAAGTATGTTCTATGTGTGTAAGCCCAAAATTATTTAGATACATTTATATATTCAGTTAGTTCATTGTAATTTGAAGGCTTTTTTTTTTTTTTTCTTTCAGACTTGACCCTTAAAACTTCTGTATATTTGGGACCAGCAGTTAGCGTAATGGCTATGTCGCTGGACTCCCACGTAGTCGACCGCGGTTCGAGTCCCGGACCCGGTGGCTTAAACTCACGCCGGGCGCATGTGCGTGCGTGCCCAAGATCCTGAGAGGAGAATGGAGGAGAAGGGATTGCGGTGTGACCATCCCCCCTGGGGGGTGATTTCTCGCTTTCTGTCTCTCTGTCTGGCGAGCGCACGCACCCTATAGCAAAAACCTCTCCAAAAAAGAAAGAAAAAAAAAAGCCTTCTGTATATTTAAGATCCTGTCTGAAATATTAGCACAATTATCACAATTGTCTTACTGATCTTAGGAAATAATTAATGTTTTGTTTTCCAGCCCCCGTCAAGAAATCGGCGAGAGAGAGCTGAACTAAGGCCAGACTTCTTTGACTCTGCAGCTATCATAGAAGATGATTCAGTATGTTATAAACTATTAATGTTTACTGATGGTTTCTGCTTCCTGTTTATGTATCACATGAATAATTGTGTTTATCAATATTTTTCTAGGGATTTGGAATGCCTATGTTCTGAAGTCTGAAGAAAATTTACAAATCTGGAACTCTATTATTTAGAGCTAGAGGCCTATATACTGTGATAGCTTGTATGGGGAAAAAACACTTTTGATGTGATCTGATTTGTTTTTTTAGTCAAATGATTAAGGTCGATCCCTTTTTGCAGTGACAGAGAAGAGGAGCATGTAAATTACCCAAGGGAATGTCGGTGAATGTCACCTCAGAGAGACTGACCTGAAAAATCATTTGTGTCCTTATATTGGACTTATCCCGATACAGATATGTGTGTTTTTCTGGAGGGGGAAGAAATTTTAAATTTTTAAAACAGCTGTCAAGATAAAACACTGTTATACACCTGTTTTATGAAAACTCAGCATTGAGTAAAAAAAATATTTTTAACTTTATTTTCCTGTTGTACAATTTAAAAACCGTTTTAACATTTTGCCTTTTTATGTTTTAAAAGCTAACCATTTTTATTAAACCTATGAGTAAGCAGCTCATCCTAATTGCCGAAGAGTGTTTTGGAGCTCACTGGATTTGGTTGACCTTGTGGAATACAGAAACGTGAAGGAGCAGAACACTGACAAGCTAAGCTGAAATTCTGACACAGTGCATCTCTGCCAAAACCACACACCCTCTGTGGGTATGGATTCCCGGATTTTATATACTCTTGAATAAAAAGGTTTATTTTTATTTATAAGTGGGCATAAAATAAATGTCCATGCAGCCATTTTTCCAACAGATGCTGTACACCGTTCATTTTATATAGAATAGGGAGATTCAAATACAGTGCATTTTCTATTGGTATTTGTTCTGTGCATTTTTAGCAACTTCTACCAGCAAATAAAGTATTCTCAGTAAAACAAAAATGGTTCTCAAGTTATCAGTTTGCTGTTTTTACCACTTATTTCATGCCCTGCCAAATTCAAGTTACACAGACTTCCATTTTCTTAAGATAATCATGAGGAACTCCTTTGCCATTCAAAAGTAATTTTAAGTGTAACATAACTGTGTCTACTTCCCATGCACTTCATACCCGTATGCGCTAACTTTGTGAATTGAGTTTACTGATTATAGAAGTCCGTGCTGCATAGAAGTCTGTGCTTAGAGGGTGAAGTTCCCAAACGTACCTTGAAATACGGCTACGTTTCAGTGTTAAATGTGCATATTGAGTAATTCTTTGGGGGGAAAGAAATTATGAATCTTCAGGACAGTCTTCAATGGTTTAGAGTTACATTCTGCTTAGACTTTTATGACTTGCTGCTATTGTTGTTTTTTAAAGCCCACTTAATTTCTTCCTGATTTTTAAAGCCTCAGAATCTCAAAACCAATCCATCCACAGCTGTTTCTGGGCTGGTTTTTAAAGTAGCTGCGACAGAATCATGAGGCTTTCCCTTTTTACCAAAAACAAAAAGCATTTTTTAAGATTCTGTGCACCCAATGATTATCTTCTGTGCGGGAAAGCAAAGTGGATGATGTTATTCATCCTTTTAGTAAACAGACACATAACATTTTTCTCAATATTTGTACAGTTCTGAAAAAACTTGGTCACCAAAAATGTTTTATCTGCTAATTCAGCAATTCCTGGGCTCTAGTTAGCAGAGTCGGGGCCTCACCTTCCTGAAATGTGAACTTCACTAGAAGTGAAGGGTCAGAAATAACTGGGCTGTCCACCTCAGCCCTGCCTACCTGTGGTTCTGGCCAGGGAACAGACCTTGAGGTGCCCTGTCACATGCACAGACTGAGCCTTTGCGTACCAGTCGTGTGTGAAACAGATGCTGACTTAGAATTGTGGACTACCATGCAACAAATAAAGGCTTAATATCTACTCCAATGGGTTTCCAGTTCAGTTTGAAGTCAATCAAATTTTTGTATTTTCAGTGTCTCCTTGATTGGTTTTGCTAGTAATTCTGTAAATTGTACATTTGCAATATGAGGTTTTTTTCCTTTTGTACAATTTGAAACTGATGCTTCACCTTTCCTTTAATAAACTATTCAAAATCAGGCTTGTGGTAGTCATCCTATTGTTCCTACTAGGTAAAGTTTGAGAGACTACTTCCTGTCCTGCTGTTATCGAATTTGCCTTTGCAGCTAATTCAGTAAGTGATGGGAAGATTCCCGTATTAATGAGGTTTTTTTTTTGTTTTTTGTTTTTTGTTTTTTTAAGAAAGTTGGGGCTAGCTCACTAATTCTCTTTCATTCCTTAGATTTCCCTGGAGACTGTGTATAGGCCAAGTGCTCTCAGTGTAAGAGGGAGTCTTTTGCAGCATTTTTGATGAGGCATTCAGGGTCCCTCCCTGAGAAACGAACCCTGGACTTACACAAGGTTGCCCTGAACCATCCAGATTCTACATGGCTGCAGAAATGAGTTTCTCTTGCCATTGGTGCCAGCCCTCTCTTGTAAGAAGTCATACCCTAGGGTCTGGCAGAGGAGGCATGGTGGTCAAGGCACTGGACACCCATGTGGCCGACTGAGATTCAAGTCTTGAACCTAGTGCCTTGTTTTCTCACTTTCTCTCTCCTCTCTTGTGAAATTAAAAAAAAAAAAAAGTGCTTTGCACTAAGTCTCTTAAACAGTCTGTGATGCCCATGCAGAAAAAGCAGGGATATGGGAGATGAGTCACTAGGTGAGCTTTACCAGGCAACCAAGGAAAGAAGGAAGGTAACAAAGATGGGTCTGTGAAAGCTCATCTTGTTTTGTTTGGAGAGGCTTTTGTTATAGGACATATGCACTTGCCAGAAAGAGACAGGGAGAAATCACTCTCCCCCCAGGGGGGATGGCCACACCACAATCCCTTCTCCTCCATTCTCCTCTTGGGCTCTTGAGTATGCACGCATACACACCCAGCGTGAGCTTAAGCCAACAGGTCCAAGACTTGAATCGTAGTCGACTATGTGGGAGTCCAGCGACATAGCCATTAGGCCAACTGCTGGTCCCTCTGAGAGCTCACCTTAAAGGTTACAAGTTTCTGAGACTAGAATGTAGCTTTCCCCCATGTGACTTCTTGGAATAGGCTTGCAGATATAGCTTTGTGACTTCCTCTTAGCCCTTCTCCCAGGTAAAAATCCATTTAAGTAGGGAACAAACAGTGTCTTCATGGCAAAGGTTCGGTGTTCACTCAGGCTTTTCATACCAGACAGAACTCAGGTAAGGCTCTGTCCCCACCCTTGTGAGCATCTTATCTAGAGAGTGCTCCCATTAGATACCTCTACCTGAAGAACATTTTTCTGTTCTAAGGACACATAAAAGTTTCTGCATCTGGGACAGCAGGGACTTAACTGCTGAAGCTGCCACAGCTGAAATGTGTCAACTGAATTCCAGAAGTCCTGGGCTGAGGTACTACCCACACTGCAGCTTCTACTGGGAATGGTAGAGTCCCATGCTGGCATCAGAGGAACAAGGGCCTAAGGACCAGTAGCTCTCAAGAAAATAATCACGCTCTTCAGGAATTCTCTGGGACTGGAAAGATAAACATCTGTTACACGGGTAAAGTCTCGGCTGGTTTATCAGCTCCAAGAGCATTAACTGCATGTGGAATATCTGGCTGTGAAGAGCACATCTTATGTACCAACACCAAAAAAAAGCATCAGCACACCCAGAAGCAAGAGATAGCTGATGAGACCAAAGCATGGAAGAATTTTTCACCCTGGAAAACTGCATTATGATGTATCCCCCTTGTTACTCCAGCAACTCAGACAACTGGCCATCTGTTGGCATCTCTGTGTAGGAGATTCATACATGAGGTAGGAAAGTTTTCCAAACTTCGTAGCTTCCTGGGACACAATCCCAGGGGAGCAGGCCATCCCCTCACCTCTATTCTTACCCAACCCTTAGTTTATCACACCCCGCTTCATCCGCTTCATCGGTTGATTGGCAAGTTCTTTGATTGAAATGCAGGCTTGGGTTAAAATTCCAGTTTCACCAGTCATTAGCTGTGAGGCTCAAGGAATGGTTAAGGCAGTGGCAGGGACAGGGCCAGCAAGACCCTAGCAGTGCCTCTTCCTACACAACCACGTTATCTGCTCTTAGCATTTGTCAGCGTGTCATACTTGCCAGCTCTCTGTTCAGTGAACCCAAGTCTTCTCTGGCTATAAAGTTCAATGTTTTTTTTTTTCTTTTTCTCCTTAAGGTAAGGCACCTATCGGGACAGGCATTCCTTTGGCACAGAAGTTGATCCACTTGACAAAGCTTCCAAAGTTTTGTAGCTCCGTGTTCCTTCAGCCAGCTGCGTTCTTGTACAGAATTTCCCTCACCACTTCAGAAGCCTCTGGCCCAGGTGCTTTCAATGTCTGGTTCCTCTACCACCTTACAGCAGCCCCAGACACAAGTCCTTCTCAGAAGCCACATTTCACAACCTGATGAACCACCACTTGGACTCATTCTTTCAAAAGGGACAGGAAGAAAAAGGTTGTGTGCACTATTGTACAGAGTAAGTCATCACCGAAACGGTCCACATCCTACCTTGGCTGACCCCAGAAATCTGACCAAGCAATTTTAAGCTGTTGAGACACATGCTAACCAACCTGAATGATTCTCATATAGCCAGGCAGTCTCCAAGGTCCCAGTAGTCTGCCACTACACTTTGCCCAGTGGCTTACAGCCTTTCTGATGTTCTGCACAAGGTACCAAAGAGCATAATGAACTAGCAAATGCAGTCTCTGCCCCCTAGAAATTGTCTAGTTAGGAAAGCAAAAGGAAATACACAATTAGGTACCTTTTTTTTTTTTTTGGAGAGGTTTTTGATATAGGGTGCGTACTGCTAGCCAGAGAGCGAGAGAGAAAGCGAGAAATCACCCCCCACCCCCACCCCCACCCCGGGGAGGTGGTGGCCACAGGGCACTCCCTTCTCCATTCTCCTCTCAGGATCATGGTTACGCACACCCAGCATGAGTTTATGCCACTGGGTCCAAGACTCAAACCACAGTCGACTACATGGGAATCCAGCAACATAGCCGTTAAACTAACTGCTGGTCCCAAAACACTGTCTTCTTATCCCTCAGGGCTGTGCCTCCAAAGGCAAATGCACTCACCGAAGACAAAAGAGAGAGCATCCCCAGTGGAGTGTGATCACTTCTCAATCCTGCTTACATATTGTGCACAGGTGCACACAAACCCAACATTTTTCAAGCCACCAGAGCTGGGAGTTGAACTATGTGATCCACGTAAGCCACAGATCCAATCTGCACAAATACCTTTTTTTAAATTTCTATTAGAGGGCACATGCACTTGCTGGGGAGAGACAGGGAAAGCAAGAAAGCACTTCCCATGAGGGATGGCCACACTGCAATCTCTTCTCCCTTTCTCTTTTTGGGATTGTGGGCATGCATGTGCACACATCTCGTGTGTTATCAAGCCACCAGGTCCAAGACGAACTGCACAGTAAGCCATGTGGGATCCAGCCACCTGAACCACTATGCCATTGGCTGGCCTACAATCAGGTACTTTAAAAAAAATATGCCTACTAGAGTTTGAGCTCAAGAGTTGTGTACAAATGGAGAGGTCAGGTGAATATGAGATTAGAGCTACTCAAAGTAAGAGAGCCCCAAGTGGACATGACAGTACTGTAGGGTCAGAAAATTCACCAAGCAAGGGAGGGATATGCTAGAACCTTCTATGTGAGCTAAGAACTTTGCAGGATAGGGTGCTAGCCCATAGGAGTGCTGGAACTGGAGCAGAGGAATGCAATGAAACCTCAAACCTGAAGTTTGCCAGGATTCTCAGCTTGCTTAGTAGGACGCCACCATGACACGTGAAGAGACTGCTTCAAAATACTGAGCCTACTATCATACTCAATGAAGAGAGAGAAAGGGTGCTCCCAAAGCAAGCAAGCAAGAAACTCCTAAGGACTACTTGTGATAAGCTAAAAAGGTAAACTGAGGCAAAATATGCAAAGCAAAAAGGACTAATTTTTTAATAGTTTGCTATAGGGCACATACACTCACTGGAGACAGGGAGGGGGAGAGGGGGAACAGTGAAAAATCACTCCCCAGAGGGCATGGCCCTGCCACAATGCTTTCTTCTCCATTCTCCTCTTAGGATTTTGGTCACACACACATGCATGCACATGTGCCTGGGGTGTTTCCCAAGCTGCCAGGTCCAGGACTTGAACTGTGTGGTCAGCCATGTGGGATTGAGCTGCTTAACCACCATGCCATCTGACTGGCCCTGCAAAAGGAGACTTTGAGCATAAGCTTTTTCTGAGTACTGCACCAGTATGCCGCCTGGATGAGTGTAATTCCCAAACATCTTCACCTTATTTTTAAAACGCTTATGTCTTAATTACCTATGTTTAAAAAAGCTAGAAAATGGTTAACATTTTGTAGCTAGATGTTCACCTTTAGCTGTTAGTAACTCAGAAGATACAGCTGTTTTCATTCAACCATTAGATACTGTCTCATCACTAAAGCCCAGCCAGATATGTATACTGCCAATTTGGAAGATACCTTCATTTTTATTTTACGTACACATTTGAAACCAGCTTATGTAACACAATGATTTACTTTTTGAATCCTATGAACTTGAAAAGTATTTGGATTAATTTCTGTGAGCTCTTATTTACCTTCAGGCCAAATTGACCTTTACCATGTAAGCACAACATAGTATATGAACACATAAGCACATGTAAGGGGGGGTCTTTAAAACATCCATGGGAAATGTGCACTATAGAAAAACCATGTGTAGGGACCAGCAGTTAGCGTAATAGCTGTCACTGGACTCCCATGTAGTCGACTACAGTTCGAGTCCTAGACCCAGTGGCTTAAAACTCACGCCTGCCATGTGTATATGCATGCATCCCCAAGATCTCGAGAGAAGAACGGAGGAGAAGGGATTGCAACATGGCCATCCCCCCCACCCCCAGGGTGATTTCTCGCTTTCTGCCTCTGTCTGTCTTTCTGGCGAGTTCACGCGCCCTCTAGGAAAAACCTCTCCCAAAAAAAAGAAAAGCCATATGTGGACTTTAAAATTTCTTTCAACTAAAATAAACTCTTTTTAATTCCATATTTCCATGAACTTCTCAAAATACCCCCAAAATACAGTGTTACATGTCCTGATTTTATGAAGATACTGAGTCCAAATTTTGGGTTATTAAGCTATTATGGTTTGGTTTTCAAAAACCTCTTTATCCTTTTTTTTTTTTTTTTTTTTTTTCCAGTTTCAAATAAGTTTAGGGGTTAACTCTCAGATGTTTACAGTTTGGCTGGAACAGCCTGAAATGTGTCAGAAAAAAAATTCCAAGCAGCCTGGAAACTTCCTTATCTTTTTTTTTTTTTTTTTTTAACCAGTAAATGATTTCAGACCTTAAAAGAAAGCATTTACACTTAAAAAATGGGATGAGGTGGGATTCTCTCCTTTTTTTTTTTCTTTTTTTATAGACCACAGATTAGTTTATTTTTAACACCCATCATGCCATGAATTCATAGGGAATAGGTTCCAGTAGCTCAGGCTCCTTTCCATTGGTTCTCACAAAGTGTGCTTCTCTGGGTGGAGCAGGCTGACGCTTTAGTTGAACCCAGGTACCTTTCTCTTTGGCTTCTTTCTTTCTCTGGAAATTTTCCTTCACACGTTTTAGGAAGCTATCTCTGCTCTTAGAATGTTTAATATGCTCAATACGCACATTGATTCTCTTGGCAAGAATCTTGCCCTTAACTTGTTTGTTCACCACAATGCCAACAGCATGCTGGGTAACATTGTAGACTCTTCCAGTTTTGCCATGGTAACATTTGTGGGGCATTCCTCTTTGAACAGTACCCATTCCCTTGATGTCTACAATATCACCTTTCTTGTAGATTCACATATACGTCGCCAAAGGAACAACTCCATGTTTTCTAAAAGGCCTAGAGAACATATATCGGGTGCCTCTCTTCTTTCCCTTTGTGTTCGTCATTTTGGTTAATTACTGGAAGATGGCGGTTCTGGCCAAAAGGCGAAACTTCCTTATCTTAAAACCACAAGTGAATGAAAAAAAAAAATCAGGAGATTCAAAATAGGCCAAAGAAAAAAGGGGTAGAGACAGGAGCTTCTTCTTGTTACTCTATAATTTCACAGAGAGGAGGGGGTAGAAGCCAGATATGAAACAGAACCAGGGGGCAAAAACAGCTAAAAGTCAAACAACCAACAATCAAAAACTGCACACCTTAAGCCCAAACCCTTACATGACTGAAATTCCCATCAGAACACGTACTTCATTAAGAAATGGAATCTGTACATAAAGTAAAATGGCAGTGATCTGAACTCTCACAAAACTGAAATCTGTACCGAAACAAAAGCCCCCATTAAGAAGCAAAACTGGGAACCAGCAGTTAGCGTAATGGCTATGTCGCTGGACTCCCACGTAGTCGACCGCGGTTCGCATCCCGGACCCGGTGGCTTAAAACTCACGCCGGGCGCGTGTGCGTACGTGCCCAAGATCCCGAGAGGAGAATGGAGGAGAAGGGATTGCGGCGTGACCATCCCCCCTGGGGGGTGATTTCTCGCTTTCTGTCTCTATGTCTCTCTCTGTCTGTCTG